AAATTATATAAAATTTTAAGTCATTAACCAATTAAATTCAAAAAAGTATAACAAGTTATAGTTAAATACACAAACTAATTAGCTTTTTTAGACAATTAAATTTTGTTATATATATATATAAATAAGCCAATTATATGATTTTAAATAGTAAAATTGCAAATTATATGTATAATATATTGCAGTATAATCCTAGACTAGAGATATTAAAAGTTTAGTTTGAGTCAGTCTTTTGAATCAACTTGAACTAAACTTTTTTGAGTTAACTTTAGACTTGAAAACCCTTTTAGAACTGAGTCTCAATAGTCATATGTACTATTATATACAAATAACTCCTATTATAGTAATATTTAAACTTTTAATTTTTGATATAGACTCAAAACTAATATAAGAGATTTTTTGAATTCACTTTAATTTTTTTTTAATTACTCTATTATCACTACTGTATAATGAGAGTAATTTGTTTAATTAAATAACTTTACTTAAAAAAATATTTATATATTTAAAACATCAATGTTAGACTATACAAAATTTATAAATTAGTACTTTTTCTATTTTAAAATTTCTGCCTCTAACCAATTTTTTAAGCATAAAGAAGCTTTTATATTCTGTTTGAAGAGGCAATTATCTGTAAACTTAATAGTATCAAAAAGTGTATATTTACAAGAACTGCTAGTAACTTGCAAATCTGTTACTATAAGTGCTACAGTAAGAAAACAGTAGGTATTATAGTAAAATTTATATATAAAAAAATTTTTGAACTAGGTGACAGATGAATTACCTATTAAAAATATATGAGGTGTCCTATATTAAAAGGGACCATTTTGCAATTTTTTTAGAAAATGAGTTTTTATTAGATTCATATAAATTTTGACATAATTGATATTTTTTAATTATGAATAAAGTTGATTTGTATAATGAAAAATAAAGAAATGTAAAAGAAAAATTACATGAGGCTTCCTAGAGCAAATCATATCATGAGATTACCTAATAGTTATCTGTTACCTTTAACTAATCGAAATTGTGAAATTTAATTAATCTTGGATTAGTTCAAAAATCAAAACAAATGATTAAACTCAATTATCTCAAAATTAAAAATTTTTAAAAAAATTTTATGATAATTTTCTTTTATATATAAATATATATATAATTAAAATTTTAATTAACAATATGCCAAATTTTTATTTTAGCTTAATAATAGGGGTACTTATCCTTTTTAGTAATTTTAAAAAAACATATTAAAAAAATTTTAGCAAGCATATTTGCATATTAGATAGTTTAAAAGATACTAAATTAATTGATCTTGTAAAGTTGTAGAGCTTATCTTGGAATTATAGAAGATCAGTATGGTATGACTGCTGGATCAGTCTGGTACAGATCCAATTTTACCAAACCATACCATACTGATCTGCTTATCATATAATATCAAAATAGTATGGTATAGTTTCCATTTAAAAATCGTACCATACTAGTTTTGCTTTATATATTATTGTAATACCTAGTATAGTATAGTTTGTATATACGCACATACGTATTTAAAAATCATACTATACTAGTCTGTTACTATATTAAAAAAATTATATTAGCAGATCAGTATGGTACGGTTTAATAAAATCAGATCCGTACCAGACTGATCCGGACAGTACGTGATTGTTGCAATTTCTCAGTAACCATCTTATCAAATACAATGAATTTTTTAAATTAAAATTTTATGAATATATAGGATTCAAATAAAAAAAAGTTCATTGAATTTAATCAGATAGCTACTAAGATATTATCGCTTGAAGTTTTTTTTTTAAAAAAAATGTCAATGTTTATCAAAAATAGAAGCTGGGCCAAATTTAAATCATAATCAAATTACTAAATTATAATATTAAATATATTTATTATTATAGTTTATTTTCTTTTACTGCTTCTAAAAATGATTCTCAAAGATTGTTTTTAATTATACAACGCCATTTGCCTAAAACTTTAGCAAAGGTATTTCAGCAACCACAAGATCAAATTCGACAATTTTTTTTTTATTTGAATTCTATAGATCTACAGAATTCAAATAAAAAAAAAGTCATCCAATTTGAGCAGGTGGTTGCTGAGATATTTTTACTTAAAGTTTTTAAAATATCAAACTGCCAAAAATAGAAGCAGTCAAAATTTTTCCTAAAGCTTTGAAAGATATCTTGGCAACTATCTGATCAATTTGATGAAAGATTTTTTATTTGAATTCCATTGATCCAATAAATTTTAATAAAAAAAATTTCAACGAATTTAATCAAGTAGTTGCTAAAAAATAACTTTGCTCAAAGTTTTAGGAAAAGTTTGGCGCAGCTTCTATTTTGGTGTTTTAATATTTTTAAAAACCTTTGAGCAAATATATCTCAGCGACCATCTAATCAAAGTCAATGAAATTTTTTTATTCGAATTTTATGATTCTATAAAATTTAAATAAAAAAAAATTCATCGAATTTGATCAGGTGGTTGCTGAGATATATTTGCTCAAAGGTTTTTAAAAATATTAAAACATCAAAAGTAGAAGCTGCACCAACTTTTTTTAAAACTTTAAGTGAAGATATTTTTTAGCAGCCACCTGATTAAATTTGTTGAAGTTTTTTTTATTATAATTCGATAAATTAATAGAATTTAAATAAAAAAACCTTTCATTGAATTGATCAGATAGTTGCTGAGATATCTTCGCTTAAAACTTTAGGAAAATTTTGACTGCTTCTATTTTTGACGTTTTGATATTTTAAAAACTTTGAGTAAAGACACCTCAGCAACTACCTAATCAAATTTGATAAAATTTTTTTTATTTGAATTCTGTGGATTTATAGAATTTAAATAAAAAATTTTTGTTGAATTTGATCATGTAGTTACTGAATATCTTTGCTAAAGCTTTAGGCAAAATTTGGTGCAGCTTCTACTTTTGATAAATATTGGCAATTTTTTAAAAAAAAAAACTTCAAAGATATCTCAGTAGCCACTTGATCAAATTCAATGAACTTCTTTTATTTGAATTCTATAGTTTTATAAAATTAAAAAAAAATTTAATTAAATAGTTGCAACAATCACATGCAATTTTATCAAAAAAATAAATCAGTTTGCAAGCTGCAATAAAACAATATATCAAAGAATTTAAAAAAAAATCACAATGCAGAATACGATTATAATATATATATTGTAATATATTGCAAATTAATATATTATGTTGTATATCTAGAAAGAAAGGTGATTTAGTTTTAAAGAAATATAGATAGTATTTAAGTGTTTATCTTATTTTGCCCTGGAAGTATTAGATAAACAAGAAACAGTTTAATATTATTATGGCTAAAATATCTACTGGAGACTACCTAATTATAAGTGTTGAGTATTAATTTATAACATTTTGAATTATTAAAGCCGCTTCTAGGTGATATAGCCAATTAATAAGCCAATATATGGATGCTAATCCTTTTAATAAACTAACAGCACTTTGTCACTATTAAATGCATTCAAATCCACAAATATAATTATTCCAATATTATCAATTACTAATAAGCTCATTAAAATAGGTTAGCTAGTGGGGCTAAAGAAGTAATTTTATTTGAAAATGTTCGTGTCAAGATTCATAACTAGAGGTATTACCCGGGTCAATTGACCTGACCCCTCTATTCATAGCATAAATAGCATTGAACTTACAGCTATTATCATAATTCCTGAAACACCTGATAAAAATTAGCCGAATAATTGTTTGGCCGATTCAGTTAAGTTAGTGCAATAATGTAAATATTATTAAATTTTCATTCCAATGCTTGTTCAACATGCTTGGTGTGTTTAGTTTGCACAAAAATTTATGGAAAAGGCAACCAATAAACCTTAGCAAGAAATCTAAAAAAGAGACCAGATATAAATTAGACTTCTGTAACAAATATATTACACGAACAGGTGCTACTATTAAAAAAGTTAATATGATCATAAATTTGTCAACTGGTTTAAAAATAAATCTCAGGTTAGAATTCCAAGCGACCAAAATATTATTAATATTTGTCAAGAATGCATGAAGAATTATCAAAGTAAAAAATTTTATATATTTATATTTATTTATATATTGAAAAATTTTAGTACTAACGATTAAAATCAGTTCAAAAATGAGATCCAAAATTAAATGAAAGTATCGAAGTGGATTTAAGAAATAAAAATTGACCATCTGAAGCAAATAGTTTAGAAGACTTGCTGACACCTAAGTGTTTAGCAATTTGTCAAACTGATAAGCCTTCTAAATTTTTTTTAACGATTTGCCAGTGAAGGTGTTTTGTAAATATTATTTCTAGAGATATTTCAAATTTTTTAAAAATAAATTTTTTGTCTTCTACAAGAAACGAAAAATAATTAGAAATAAGTAAATGCTATTGTTTAAACGAAAATTGATATTTCCAAAGAATAGGAATCGAAATTTAATTCAATTTTTTAAAAATGAATTTTCATTGAAAATAATTAAATAATAAAGGCTTCGTTTAAATGAAAATAAATCTTACCAAAGAATAGAAATAGAAAATTGTACAATTTTTTAAAAATGAATTTTTGTTAAAAATAATTAGAAATGAATAAAGGTTTTGTTTGAACAAAAATGAGTCTTGCCAAATAATGAGAATTGAAAATTTAATAATTAAATCAAAATGTATCATTATTTAAAGTATGTGTAAATGGCTAGCTTATTTATAGTTAATAAGTTAAGGAAATTGAAATAACAATATTATAGCTTTCGTAACTTAGAACAAACTTTTTTATTTCAAATCAAAAATAAAAATTATTATAAACTTATAAGCAGCAAGCTTATAATCAGAATATATTTGTTAAACATACACATCTGCATAATAAATTCAATCCTTAATACCTAGAGTCTTTTCTTTTTTGATATTTGCTAACTCCTGAGCATGAAGGTTAGTTAATTTTGTTTTTTTTTTAATATTTAACATTTCTTTTTGGTGCTGAAATTTATAGTCAATTAGTTCAAGTTTTTATAACTTTTCTCATTTGGCAATTTTAGCATCTAAATCGTTTAATTCTTCATTGTTTGCTGTAGTTTCATTAGAATTTGAAGTTCTTTTGTTTGTAGGTGGATTTTTTTGCGTTTTGAAGTTTCTAATATATATATAATAGTTATATATATTAATTAATTAATTAATATTAGAATATATAGTATATATTGTATGAATATAGTTTTTACCAAATTTTTTAATTGACTTAGTAGCTTTAGCTATAGGCCCTGACAAATGACCAGTTTTGGGGATATTGTATTGATCTTGATATTCACACATTGCAAATCGACGTTCATCTAACCATTTTCCTCTATATATATTTTTTAAAAAAATATAATTATATTAGATAAAGATAACAAACTTTGTTAATATTAAGAGTATTTATAGAATATTATTTATTTATTATTTTTTTTTTTGGTATTAAGGTGAGGCCTTGCTCGTATCTTTATTGAGTAATTTATATAAGTAATTACATAGAGACTATATAAAAACTAAATTTGTAT